TAGCAAGCAGCATTACCAAACTCAACATTCTATTTGGTATTAGATTCAGGCTCATTGCCAAAAGATCAAACAACTCTAAATATTTGACCTTTTTTTAAAATTTTTTTCTTTTTTTTCTAATCAAACATTAACACACAGTTGTTAAGAGAACACAATCCTTATGGTCCTTGATTTCCGGGTGTTTAGTTACAAATACTCTCCAAGGCAACATACAAGCCTTTCTGACTTTGCTTCCCCAACTTGTGCTTCTACAATTTCATTCGGCTAAGGTAGATTGCATCATGATACAAAGGTGGACAAGCAAGATGCAGTCATTCTTTTATCAATGTTGGTTAAATGGAAGCCATCTGTCTTAATTTCTCTCTGCACGAAGATCCTTTCATGCTTTACCTCAAAAGTCAATGCAACCCTTGATAAGTTAAAACCACCTAGCTTTCTGGTACAATGTGCAGTAATGACGTAGCCTATCAGACAGCAGGCAGAAAGATTCTGGGTTCAGAATTTTATCGTTGCCCATCCCACCAACGGAGGAAAAGATAACAAACTACTTTGGAAAAAGACGATGACATTTTACTGCAAAATCTAAAGCTGCTCGGAGCTGATGCTAACTCTAGAATTTCTCCTTTTATAAAAAGATTTTTCTTTCAGCAAAATAAGAAGGTTAAGCAGTATAAGAGGCAAACATTTTGTAAGAAAAATAGAAGCTCAAGCTAGCAAAATAATTCCACTACCCAAAATCAAACATAATAAGGAATCTTACCAAAAATCTTGCCATCACCAATTTCCCCAGTTCTTGCCTCTTCAATTATCTTTTCTATGACTGCTTCAACCTAAAAAAAAGTGGGGTACTACATGAGTTGCACAAATTCAGCCAACTAAAAATGCTTTTGCTCCATTCAGCAGCTTGCTCAATACTTAACAGAAACTACATGGCAAAACTCGGATAAAAGTATCGTTACCAATTTGTTATAGAACATGAGTTAGACATCTTCATAGTGGATTTAACAATACCTGGTTCTTGCCAACAACAATCTCCATCTTAACTTTTGCTACAAATTTATCTTCAGAAAACTCAGAGCCTGTCCACGACCAGATTTGAAACATAGTCATCTTCAAAGGGCAAATGAACATATTTAAAAAAAAAAAGGAAAAAAGGGCAACTACTACAAATGCATCAAATGTATGGCAAAGAACCAAAGGCATAATCCACCATCTGCCTTTGCCTATGTAAATGTTTGAGGGGAATAAAAGACACCTTTGCCTTGTGACTGGAAAAGGACTAAACTACAAGGACATTCAGAGGCACAGAACCATTAAGAAAAAGATTACCCACCAGCTTGCCTTTCTGTCAAGCCACCCTGAGCACCAAAGCCTTGCACATCAGAAACCGTAACACCACGAATGCCCATCTTCAACATTGCCTTCATTGGAAAAACACGGAGTACAGTAAACTGAGGAGGTTCTCAAAAGAAAGGGAGAGCTACATTGATTCAGACATACCAATTATACACGCTATATCAACAAATGAAGTTTAGGAACATGTATCTTTAAGCTTTAGGACTACTTCAACAATATGCAAACATTCTTTTAATACAGATGAATCAAAAATATCAAAGGAAAATGAACAGTTACCTTGAAAAAAATTATACATTAAGTGTTCAACTATGTTGAATATGGAGAATGTTATAAGTCTAAACACACACTGGTCAGAGGCAACAGAAACTGATAGCTATAGCTCCAGAGTAAGAATGCAAATGGCATTAGCGGCAGTAAACTAGGAAAGGCGACATTCAGTCATAAAACTTGCTTTAGGCAGCATAGTAAGACATTAATTACTGTTCACCTGCTTTAGGCAAGGCATTAGAACCTCAAGTACTGTGACATAGAACTCAAACTATATGTGAAAACCATAAGGAAAACTTAGAAGAGCGTTTAATTTAGTCCTATCATTCTAACTGTTACAGCAAGCTCAGAGAACTATAGAAGTCCAAATAGCCATGTTGAGAAAAGTTTCCAAATCTGAGTATTCAAATGTTAGTACTTGACGTATACATAAAATCTGGAATATGCACTCTACACCAAGATTAGAAAGGATAACTTTTCTTACAAGTCATTACTCAACCTGAAACACCATCCAAGAATCTATCAATACAACGCAGGAAAGAACTCCATATTATTTACATAAGAAACTAAAGGGCATTGCTGCAAGCATCCACAAATAATCAAGAATGCCTTCATTGTAGAAAGGTAAATTCCACATGTCAATCTCAACGCTTTCCATAATACCCTTAGCTTGTCATCCATCACCATCACCAGCAACCTCAGACCTTAGCATTCAGCCTAGTGGTAATATGTACCACAGTTTTTAGCTGGTTATAGCGGCCAACAAGGGTATACAATTGACCCAAAATGATGGCTTACCATGAGAAACAATTTACTCGGTGATGAAGAAGGGTTTTATCGAGATCGCCATGCAGTGATGGCCCACATGGCAACTATTGCTAGAGAATCCTTTTGGCTGCTCAATATGGCAGGATTAACTTAGTATGCAAATAGTTAGCTAGCTTAAACTTCAATGAGTAAAAGGCAGATACCTTAAGACTCATGCTAATGAAACAATGATTTCATATCTTCTTTGAGCCAGCGCATTGTCTCTCTCATTTAATTAATAGCATTTAGTCATCTTAGTGATATCTAGTCAATTGTCTTTATCATTTTGGACCTCCCGTAGATGATGACTTCTGAACATACCATGTATGCATTTGTAAAACAAAAAGCTTGAACGTTTCATTGCATGATATATGAAGCGAGTAGCCATCCTCGTCTATCTTTCCTATCACCTTCCCCTTCTCCATCTCCAACTCCGTCTACATCTTCCATCATATCACCGAAGACAACCAGCATCCATAGGATTACCTCTAATGTCTGAAGGTGAAAGCTTCGATTAATGCTTTTGACCTATGTGCATTGACACAATGGGAAAAATGGTAGGTACAGGTGGTTCAGTCTGAAATGCTCACCAAGAATTTGTCAGAAAAGAAATCTCCAAAGCATCAGTCCACATGTCCTTCCAAACCACACCAATTGCAGCATTCTGTAATTTATTATATAGATATATGCCTAGATTACATAAACTCAGAAATACAGACAGATAGAACATAATCAGTCAGCACTTTTAGTTAGACTAAAAATCTCAACTATCAACCTACTTCAACTAAAAGTTCAATGGCAAGACTAATATGTTTGCATCTCGGAGCAACTTGCTACAACTTAACGAGTTGAATAAGGCATTCTGAGCTGGTTTTCTTAATTAGTTCTACATTGGTGAACACCACACTGAAGAAGCAATATGAGATTACAATCATCCGCAACATAAATGATCAGGCTTACCGAAGAGACTTGCGGAACCCTCCAGGGTCTAGCTTAAATTCAGATTTAACAGCCAAAATGAAAAAGGAAAAAAAGAAAACACGATTAGATTGGATAGGTCAATGCCGGATAAAAAATCAAGGGAAAAAAGGGGGGGAAAGAGGGGGGCGGTGAATTTTAACTCTATGCACCTCAAAATAGCTTCAACTTTGTAATAACTCGCCTCTGGAATATAATCTACATTTAAGCAACCAATGGAGAAAGCGCGTAAATGGGCATGCTAACATAAGAGTGAAAGAAAGAAAAACAGAAAAAAAACCTGTCCTTTATTATTTTTTAGGGCAGTGGGGAGGAGATTTTGCGGAAGGAGGGGAGACCTCCTCCTATAACTTCTACTTTTTGTACCTACGGAACCCTGAGCTGTAATTGTTGAAAGATGAGAAGAATTTGTTGTTGGTGCTGCAGTTGTTGTTGTGCATTTGTGGACCAGACTAATTTGAGAATCAGAGAAGAAGTCACCGAACCGCAGGGGGCGGCCAATCGGAAAAGGAGCAGGAGCAGTCCTACTGCGATATTGGGATTGTTTAAAACCGCAAGTAATACTATAAGGGGAGGAGTTTGGGAGCATTATGTTTGCTGCTTTCGCCGCCGCCGCTGATGCTGATGATAAGGCCATCGTTGGCATATGGCAGACTCAGTTGTTGTTGGTGGAGATTTTGAGAGCGTTCTTCGAGACTTTTTTGATTCTGGATATCCCGTAGCGTCCAGTGCCCTATCAAGTGCAGTACATTTATTTACAGTAATACTATGTTAAAAAAGGTTCACTGAATATTTTTTTATAGTATTAACTTCACAAAATTCAATAGAGTTAATTAAATCATTAATATTAAATTTTATATTAAAAGTTAATTGATGCAAAAAATGTTCGCATCTTTGTACAAAATTATCAAACCTTAACTTTAATTATAAAGGAATGTAAAAAATAAATAACCTTTTTAAGTAAAAAAATTAATTTAAATGTAGTTAATTCACACACACACATATATACATATGTATATATATTCTCATAATATAAACTAAAATTATAAAAAATTAGGAAAACCAACTTTATTTTACACAAATATTTACATAACATGAATTAAAATTTTTAAAACTTGGGGAGGAGGGTTATGGCCCCCATTAGCCTCCATTGGTTCCATAATTGATTTCAATAGCGTCTTAATTCTCAACCTGCAAGATTACAAAGAAAAAAACAACTGATCACAATACGAATCACACCATGGTGATTCCAATGAAATATTTTTAAAAAGTTCAGCAAGTCTACTTCCAAGAAATACAAGTCGCGCTGAACATTTTTTTGTAGTACGAACTCTACAAAATTCAATAGAATTAATTAAACCACCAATATTAATTTTCATACTAAAAGTTGATTGGTGTAAAAAATGTTCGCACCTTTGTACAAGATTATCAAATGGAGTGCATAATGTTTGTAAGTATTTTATTTTGAAATCAAATAAAACATGCAATTACATTTATTTCTATCCATATATCATTCATTTTCTAATATGAATTATTATTATTTTAAGATCCATCTTTGCGGAAACGCAATTCTTGAATGATCTACAAATTTTGTCATATTTTGAACTATTGTTAGACAAATCTTAAATTTTAATTATATTGGTATAATCTTTTAATTTGTTTCAATAATGTAAGTACCGTGCATAGCACGGGTATTCACACTAGTACTATGTGAGCCCCCAGTCCGTTCGTAAGTCAATATTAGGGTTATTTGATATTCGGTATGGAAAAAAAAATTAGGGTTTAATGGCTAGGAAGGAAACCCTAATTCGGTTAAGTTTGAAAATCCTAATTTACGTATTATTATTATAAGGTTCAAACTATAATTTATATTCGATATTCTAGTGTGTGCCTTGACATAAGTAAATATAGGATTTGTTTTAATTACAAAGGTTTAGTAAGTTTGAATGATTAGCAAACCTTTAGTGTTCCAATTTATTAGAAAGCTTAAGTGGGGATTAAAAAAAAATCCTAATTTTGCCTAAGTTATAAATGTTATTATTTGATTGTTTTAATTATGGGAATGGTATGTTTAAGTATAAGTGATTAAGATGAGGAAGCGATTAGTAAAGTGATTAAGTGTGATTACATGTTTTAAATGAGATTAAGTTATGACTTATGGAGTTAATTGAAATAGTATCAAATGTTTTTGGGCAAGAGTAGAATTAAAGTTAGGTTGAAGTGCAAGGGGTTTAAAGGCAAATAAAACATCTTTTTTGTGATTGGTTGGCCTAAAATATCTCTTGTGTCTTCTTTGACTTATTTACCTCTTAGTCTTATAAGACAATTAGAAGAAATCAAAGTAAAAATTTAAAAGGAAAAAGAGAGAGAGGGGCCGAAATTCCTTGAGAGCAAGGGAGAGAGTTTTCCTTCAAAAATCTTCAATTTCTAGCTTGCATCTTGTCTTGGGAGCTTGGAGCAACCACTTAAGAGCTTGATTGTTAAAGTTTATCATCTACTAAACTCACTTGAAGGTATGCTATCTTCTTTGAAAGATTAATTTTGGGGCTTTAATCTCTAAGATATGGAAATGATGTATTATGCTATGATTATGGGTTTGTATGGTGAATATGAGGTTTATATTGAAGTTTCATGGTTTAATTATGATGGAGATGTTGCTGAAATTTTGATTTAAGATTAAGAGAATTAGGGTTTTTTATTTTAATGCTTTCCTTACTTGTTTTAGTTGAGAAATGGACTTGTAGTGGTTATGTTTGATGAATTGCCTCATGTGATTGGTTGGTTACTTGCAAAAATCTGATTTGGGTTAAGAAACCCTAGACTCCATTAGGCTAATGTAGCTTAGCTTATGGTTAGTGAGATAGGGTTTGGTTAGTGAGAGGTTGGATTAAGTTCATTGGTGCAAATGAAATTTGGTTAGGGATTGTGGTTGATGTTTGTTAAATTTGGACTGATTTGGGAAGGGAATTTCGGACCAATTAAGAACTGAAATACATAAGGTTATTTGGTATTAAAATGGATGGAAATCTGGTATAAGAATAGTAGGAACGGACCGTGCGACTTCGGCGCGCGATAACGGCAAAACTGGGAAAAACAGGACAGTTTAACGACTGAACTTCGGCTTCATTTTTCTTAATGCTATGTACGGATTTAGGAATTCCTCAAAACATGAAAGTCGTAGCCCCTTGGGTCCTGAATATGCCTGTAAAATTTCAGGTTTGGACTTTGACCAACTTGTCTTAACCTTCATAAAACAGAAATTTGACCAAAATTTCCTCATTTCTTCCCCTTTTCTTAGTCTTGGTCGAAATTCTTGAGAGGAAAAACAAGAGAGGAAAAAACTTCATCTTGCACCTCAATTTCAAGCCTCAATCTTGAGTTTCAACCGATAATCTTGCAAATTCCTCCACAAAAGTTGATCTCCAAGGAAGTTTAAGGGTTTTGGTGGAGTGATTTGGGAAGAGGAAGGTCTTGGCAGCTTCTTGATATAGGGATTAAGGTGAATTTGGTAAGAAACTTCCCTCTACTTCTTATATGTGTGAACTAGAAGTTTAAAGTTATAGTTTTGATGGATTTATGGGAAAAATTTCATGGGTTCAATGGTATGTTGGGATGTTTAACTAGGGTTTATATTTTCAGCCTTGATTATGGTTATCTACCTCTTAATTGATGTTATTGAGATAGTAATTGGTGGGTTTGATGATAGAGCACTTGTTAGATATGAATTTATAGAGTAAAGGTGCAAATTTCAGAATTTGGAAACCAAGCTACCCTGTTCTGTCCCATTTTATTGCATCATGTTAGAGGCCGAATTAGACTTAGTATAAAACATGAAAGTTGTAGAGAATGATGTTTTATAGTTGTCTACAAAATTTCAACTCATTCGGAGCAATGTAGCAAGTGAAAAGACCAAAATACCCTCACTGCCCTAGGATATTTCCAGTGATCCGTTTTGGACAGTTCATCCAATTGATTGTGTTTATTCACTATGATCCGTGCTGATTTAGTCATTTGCCAAAAAATTAAAAGTTTTAGTACTCTGTCTTAGTTTTTTAACGCCGCCAAGAACACCTTAAACGGATCAGTGTAGCCCAAGTTATAGACAAAACACTCATGCCTGTTTTGAACATTGGTTTGTGCTGCGTTTTGAAGTCAGCCTCTGACCATGCATTTTTCCGTTTTGATCCCGTACGATCTGGGTGTCAACTCCTTTATAAGAAATGTAGATATTGGTTTTGGCTTCGAAACGGTATAAAGTGCGTCGAAATCCGAGTTCCGTAGCTCCTGTTATGAACAAAACAAGATCAATCGTCAGAACTGCCTTGAATATGGACAGTTCTAACGGGTGCTTTGACACTCAACTTTCGTTCTGTTCTGAATGGATTCAAGTCTTGGCCAAAACATCAAAGTTTTAGCCTTATGTCTCAACTTTCTAATGCCTTTGGAATTTCCTGATTTGGACTTGTGAACTAGAATTTATGGTCCAGTAAACAGACCCTGTCTGTCATTCAAAATGCAAACTTCTGGTGCTGTTTTTCATGATTTTGACTTGTGTTGATTCGGATCTAGTTTAAGGTGTCTTCATGAGAATTGTAGGCCTTCCTCATAGCTTCGAAACGGTGTTTCCTTCACCTTGATCCGATATTCTTAGCCTAACTTTTGATCAAAACGGTTTGAGATGGCCGATTTGGCCGTTTCCGTTTGCCGTTCCGCGCGAGCGCGTGTGCCGATTTTTGCCGTTTTGCTTGTTTTGGATCTGTTAGTAGCTGTTTGTGATATAATGTGATAAAATCTTCTATTTCAGACAGTGGTGAGTTAGGCGGAGCCGGTGGGGCCCACTACTAGCGAACAACTTGTCTTAATTCTGTTTTGGTGTAGTTTTCCATTTTTGATCATGAAAAATGCATGATTTGGCCTTAGAGGTCTTCATAAGAAATGTAGGGTTGTGTTTTAGCTTCGAAACACCATAGGATACACTTCAATCGGACTTCGGTAGCCAGAGTTATTGCTGATTAACAATTGTACGATTAGCCAACCTATTTGTGAGTTTCTGGTTTCATATATGTCAATTTTGACCTAGTTACACTACAAACTGGACTGAGTGACCTTTTTCAACATTGTAGCCCTATCTGTTAGCTTCGAAACGGTGTATCTTGCACCTTCATCCGATAATCGTACCGCCAATGGTGCCAAAACCGCAAAATGGTGTCAAAAACTGTTTTTATCCGGAAATGTTTTTAGCTTGATTTTTGTATTTATTTTTGTATTTATATGACTTTAAGCCTAGTGAACGGCTTTTGGACATGAGATTATTCTATATGAGATGTTGGGACTGTTTTGAGGAAAATAATGAAGCCATTAATGGCTGGAAAATAGGTAAACACAAGGGACATGCCGTCCGTTTATCTTCTTGTAATGTGAGCAAGTTAAAGTGATTTTACGAATGTATTTTGTGACAAATTGGACGTATTTACTGAAAATATTACCGGCTCTTTTGAAAGGTGGCCGATGGCTAAATTTCTATTTGAACCTGTATATTTCCGCTTGGCAAATAAAATGACCGTTTTACCATTCTAAAACCTAATACCTCTTTGGGTTGGTTTATGAACCCTAGTAATTCCCGTCCACGGATCCAAATGCTCTATTGACACTTTAAAAGTCATTTTATACGTTTACTCCCGAGTAGTCGGGTAATCCTTGATTTCATCCAAATCATGATAGACGGATTGTAAT